CCCCAAAACCCCCGGATTTCACCCCAAAAGGCTGTACCCCACTCCCGGAAGGTCCTGTTTGGTTCGTAGCGGTCGATGAGGGCCTGCGCCCCCGCGGGGCCCAGCGGGGGGAACAGGAGCCCCAAACCCGCCCCAAACCCACCCAAAATCACCCCAAACCCACCCAAAATCACCCCAAATGTCCCAAAACCCCCGGATTTCACCCCAAACCCCCGGATTTCACCCCAAACCCCGTACCCCGCTCCCGGAAGGTCCTGTTTGGTTCGTAGCGGTCGATGAGGGCCCGCGGGGCCCAGCGGGGGGAACAGGAGCCCCAAACCCGCCCCAAACCCACCCAAAACCACCCAAAACCACCCCAAATGTCCCAAACCCCCCGGATTTCACCCCAAACCCCCGGATTTCACCCCAAACCCCGTACCCCGCTCCCGGAAGGTCCTGTTTGGTTCGTAGCGGTCGATGAGGGCCTGCGCCCCCGCGGGGCCCAGCGGGGGGAACAGCACCTCGTTGCGTCTGGCAACTCCACCCAAAATCTTGACGAAATCCCGCAGCTGCTCCCGGCTCACGTACGGCTTCCCCGCGGCCCCGCTGCCAAAGCACCAGCACCTCGTTGAGTCTGGGGTCTCTCTGCCGGGAGTTGACGAAATCCCGCAGCTGCTCCCGGCTCACGTACGGCTTCCCCGCGGCCCCGCTGCCAAAGCACCGAAAACCCCAAAACGGGCATGGAATTCAAAAAAATCCTAAATAACCACCCCAAAAACAGCCCAAAATGGGCATGGAATTTAAAAAATCAAAAAAAACCACTGGAAAAACCCCCAAAACAGCCCAAAAATGGGCATGGAATTTAAAAAAATCTAAAAAAACACCCCAATAACCCCCAAAACACCCCAAAAACAGCCCAAAAATGGGCAGGGAATTTTAAAAAATCTAAAAAAACCCCCCCAAAACAGCCCAAAAATGAGCACGAAATTTTAAAAAACCTGAAGAAAACCAGCCCAAAACCAGGCATGAAATCAAAACAAATCCAAAAAAAATCCCAAAACAGCCCAAAATCTGGCACAAAATTAAAACAAATCCCAAAAAACCACCCCAAAACCCCCCAACAAACACCCCCAAAACCCCAAAAATCAGCTCAGAAACGGCCCCAAAAATGAAACAAATCCCAGGTTTTGGGGCAGGTTTTGGGAGGTTTTTGGGGGATTTGGGGTTTTTTGGGGGATTTTGGGGTGGAATTTGCTTTTTTGGGGGGATTTGGGGTTTTTAGGGGGATTTAGAGGGAATTTTCGGTTTTTTTGCAGTGATTTTGGGGGGATTTGGGGTTCTGGGGATGTTTTGGGGGGGATTTTGGGGCTTTTGGGTTTTTGGGGTGTTTGAGGTGTTTTTGGGGTGTTTTGGGGAATTTTGGGGTGGAATTTGCATTTTTTGGGGGCATTTGGGGTTTTGGGGGGGATTTTGGGGGGATTCAGGGTTCTTGGGGTGATTTTTGGGGTGATTTGGGGGTTTTTGGGTGGTTTGGGGGTGATTTTGGGGGTTCTTGGGGTGATTTTTGGGGTGATTTGGGGGTTTTTGGGTGGTTTGGGGGTGATTTTGGGGTGTTTTTGGGGTGATTTTTGGGGTGATTTCGGGGTTTTTGGGTGGTTTGGGGGTGATTTTGGGGTGGTTTTGGGGCGTTTGGGGTCTCACATCTCCAGCAGGATCTTGTCCAGCTCCGGCCTCAGGCAGAGTTTGCTCAGGAAGCGCCGGAAGGTCTCGAAGGGGAACAGCTCCAGGGGGATGGCGGCGCCCTGGGGACCCAAAATCCCCTCAAATCCTCCCCAAACCCCCCCAAAATCCTCCCCAAGACCCCCCGCACCCCCAGCCCCCCGCGCACCTGGGCCTCGCCGTCCCGCACGGCCACCAGCGTGAGGAAGCCGAGGCTGACGAGGTCGGGGCCGTGCACCACGGTGAGCAGGCGGTGGGGAGGGGGACCCCCGGGCACCCCGAAGGCCAGGGCGGCCCGCGTGCGGGGGTCCTGAGCGGGGACCCCAAAATGGGTGAAAAATGGGCGAAAATGGGTCAAAAATGGACCCAAAGCCACCCAAAATGGACCCAAAGCCACTCAAAATGGAACCAAACCCACCCAAAACGGACCCAAAACTGCCCAAAAAGGACCCAAAGCCACTCAAAATGGAACAAAACCACCCAAAAATGGGTCAAAAATACACCCAGAGACCCTCCCGGGGACCCCGAAGGCCAGGGCGGCCCGCGTGCGGGGGTCCTGAGCGGGGACCCCAAAATGGGTGAAAAATGGGCGAAAATGGGTCAAAAATGGACCCAAAGCCACCCAAAATGGACCCAAAACCACCCAAAAATGGGTCAAAAATACACCCAGAGACCCTCCCGGGGACCCCGAAGGCCAGGGCGGCCCGCGTGCGGGGGTCCTGAGCGGGGACCCCAAAAATGGAACCAAAAAATCCCAAAATGGGCCCAAAATGGAACCAAACCCACCCAAAATGAGCCCAAACCCCCCCAAAATGGACCCAAAACCACCCAAAATGGAACCAAAGCCACCCAAAATGAGCCCAAACCCCCCCAAAATGGACCCAGTCCAAACCCCCCCGAAATGGGGTCAAGCCCCCCCCCCAACAAATGGGACCAGAAACCCCAAAAAAGCT